GCTGATGTGGCACCAAGCCGCTTCGGAGTTCGTCAAGTCCGAACTATTTCACTAGGTGACTAGGCCCGCGTTTGCAGCTGGCTGCGCCATCACTCCAGGTATCGACAGACGCAAAGCCCTAGCAAGATGGCTGAGCAACATCTGCTAAGCTACCATCAAGTCCAGCATGGCAAGCTACGGCGACGGAAGGCACTGACGGGGGGTACCACCTGAGCATGACACCTTGACACCTGAGCCCTGCAGGTTGTTGATTGATGTTGATTGTGACACCCGACTCGTCGGGTGATGTTCTTGTACTTTCGGCACCAATTTTCTAGTGGCTGTTTCGGCATTTTACAGAAAGCCTCAGGTCGAGGGTGTAGAGTCAACGGCTTGCGCTGCATGAATGCTTTCCTTTCTCGCAACACCAGTATGGACCAGTGATGTTCTTATATGCCGAGCCCATGTCGCTTATCATCTGTTGAAAAGGTACTCCGCCGGTTTGAGGAACTGTCAAGTCGTAGCTCCTGAAACGTCCTTGAATTATCTTGAATTCCTGGACAACCCTCCAGTCACGTTTTCTTCAACTGTATATTTCAAACTGTTGACTGGCAAATTACACAATGGGAATGGCAACTTCATTTCCTGGCTTCGTCTTTGGGTGTACCGTACAAAAGCAATGCCCTCCAATGCACATCATCACACAAGTGTGACTTGCTTTGCTTTAAAGAAATCCCAGTGACGATCGAAGATATGCTGCATGAAACATCATGTCATGCGTCGGATTAAGCATAACCAGTTCCTTTGAGGGGCGAGTGTGCCAGGTGCCTGTTTGATGATCGCTTGCAAATCAGCCTGCCAGGACATGAACACGATCATGAACATATGTTACCACACCGCAATTTGTGTGCAAGTCCATTTCCGTTCCAAGCTCCTTGTCGTTTGCGTGAGATGAAATATTGAACATAAGTGAAAAACAATGGACTTGGGACTGCTCTGGATGAACAATAAATTTTGCAACTTCATTGAACATAAGTGAAAATCTGGATGTGGCTCCAAAAGCAATGGACTGCACCTGCAGATCGACTCGTGTTCCGTCTCCGTCTCGGCCTTGGAGGGATTGAGCCCGACGGCACGCACCAAGTTCACGATATTCCGACGCGTAAGCGCCTCAGAGCGGCGCATGAGATGCCCAAAGCTGGCTGTGACGCAGTTGATGGCAGTTGCCGCCCGGAGTTAAAGCAGATCCATCTGATCACACGCTTGAACAAAGTCGCTTCGTCGAAGACTATGACAACGGGACCCCACGAAGTCCTTCCCGCCCCTTCTTAAACTTCACACTTCGGCTGTTCACTTATGGACATGCTTTGTCAGTAGGGATAAACCCTTGAATACCAGTACCCCATAATATCCCAACCTATTGCGGCACAGAGCACTGCTACGTGTCCATGACTGTGCTTTTTGTTTGTACAAGGTGACTGCGGTCAAGCTTTGTCAAAGCTATGGTTAAAAATCCACGTTCCAGGTTGTAGAACTTTCTAGATTATACTGCATCGGATGTCAACAGATATGGATTTTGGTGGTTGGTGTCGCTGAGCACGAGCTGAAGCAACCACTCCATGAAACCGAGGCATGTATCAGACACGACCTGTTACTCATGTGTAACCTAAAGGATCATTTTATCTACTCTAGCATAATGAGCATGCTAGTAATGCAATGCCTTTCATGTTGCATCGTCTGCATCACCAAACTTCCAAACATCACCTCCATTGAAAAGTAAAAAACACCAGCAGCCCTAAAGACTCACTTCGTTTGCAAACTTCAGCCTAGCCTATGCTACTGGGTTTCGAAAAAATAGTCTCCAGCCCAGTGCGTGCTTCGTAAAAGCTTTCGTCATCCCTGCGCACGACGAAAGCTTTGGCAACTGCTCAGCTTGGGTACGCCATCCAGGTCTTCCATGTATTCATCAAAGACCTGGCGTGCTTTCGTCATTCTTCTCTCGCACAACCATCAACTCACTGGAAAATGCAAGCCCTCCAAAAAAGTAAGAGAATTGAATGGATGGAACAGAATCTCACAAGCCCTAACCTCCTAGATCTCATCAATCATCCAGCAAAACCCATCCGCGCCCTTGCCGTCATCGGCTTCTTCTGTCAGTGCCCTAGCTCACCAACAGAGTTCTTTGAACTGGTGAAACTCATTTCGCATTAAATCTATGTATGTCCACATCGTTGAGGGGCTATATATTCATACAACCGATACAGTATCGTTCATGTTCAATGCCTCCAGCTGTTGCGAACGGTTCAGGCCGTCAACGATGGCAAAGGATCAAACATCTCAGAAAACAAACCAGGACAAATGGGCACTGAAAAACACAGGAAGACTTCTGCGGTGCCTGTTTGAACTCCAAGACTTGCTCCTCGGTGAGGTTCAGCTCCTCGCTTGGTGGCCAATAAAATAACCTCAACCTTGTATGCTGGGAAAAAAGGATGCTCAAAATATATGTTCCAATTACATTCTAACACCGATTCTACACCTGAACACTTGAGAAACTCTCGGATTGCGAAATCGCCTCCCCTGGTTTTGTTTAGGCAAAGGGATCATTTTGGGTTGGGCCAGTGAGGTCAGGAGTTCCTTTACCCTCAAGGCTCACCCTGGGGGTCAGGTCTCACTTTATTGTTGCCTAAGTGAAACTTGCAAAATCTGGTGCAAAACACACACCCTTGGCTTGAGTCTGTTGAAAGCTTAATTATTGGGCAAGCTCTCAACCAACAAGAAGTGACGCATGAAAGAGACTGGCCAAGCGGCTGTTCCGTTCCCACCTGCTGCAGGCGCAAGCAAGTGTTTGACCGGCTTTACCGGCTACGGCGGGCCTCCCATTCCCGCCCTAAACTCCTTGGAATAATAAGCCAGCTCATCCTCAGACAGTGGAACTGGAGTCCATGACATGGCTTGGTCTGCAATGCAGGGGATCAGCAGAAATGCCACGTCGAACCTTCCCAGCATGTTGGAGACTCGGAGTTGTTCGCAGAGAGGGCTTAGGCTGCTTATAGAAGTCTGGAAGGCAAGTCTCGGTGCGAGTTACGGCTAAACCATGCTAAGCCTGTTTTCAAGCGGCCGCTACTATGCAACCATGTCGTAGCTACTAGCAGTGCGGTGCATTTCAGGGTTGAATCTCTAATCTTGAGCAAGCTGTGGTCACGATCCAGGAAGCTGAGGACTGTCCAAAGGTCAGGCCAACCCACGACCTTCTTGTTGGGGACCCAAGAATCAGCTTTCGTCTCATGCAGGCATCCATCCTGTTGTTGACATGCTGTTCGAATCTTCATCCAGAATTCCTGCAAGTCTGATCCATGAGAGTTCAGGAAAGTGAATGCTCTCAATAATTCCTTTACTTTATTTTACTTTCATTCAGCAAGCTTGGCAAGCTTTGCGGTTTTCTTTGAAATCTATTCGCCTCCTGTTGCGAGAGAGAATCCATGTGCTCTCAATTAGAGCACAGCAGGATTCTGTCAATCTCACCGGCTGACAGACTAATTAGAAGTCTGTTTGTAAGATCTAAAGGTTCAAAGATCTAATTGGGCACGGGTGGCATCGGTCCTGCAAGCAACATCAGTTCGCATCCGCGACACTTACGACCGCCAGGAGGCGTTCAGAGGAAGCGCAAAAAGCACGAGCCAAGGGGCCCGGAGGGGGGGAACATCCCGTAAAAATAGAAAAACAAAAGCGATGAAAGACTGTACACGGAGGACATGCGACGACCATCATGAGCTCAACAGCAGTGTGGAACACTGAATACTGCATATATCTGCATATGGCAAACAACTACACATGCTTCATTCCAAAGCATCAACTGATTCTTATCGTCACGTCGCTGCAAAATCACCCTGTTGGCATCTGTTGGCTCATTCTCGTCGAACTCAACGACTGGCCGAGTTCGCCACGAAACATCTCTGGTCTCCACCGAACAGGCGGAGTGAGTCGTTTGCGCAGTCGTTGGCGCAGTCAAGTGCCGCAAGTTCGCTCACTGGTCTGCCAAAGCCTTGGCATCGGCCTCGCTCCGTGGCGGGGAGAGGGGCGCTCAGGAACTGCTCAGCTGATCATACCTCTTGATCAAATATCTGTCCATCCGCATCCTGTGTCATGACCACCTCTATCATCAACGAATTTTGCAAAATCAAGCAAGACACAATCTGTCTGAGTCCGTGTTCCCTGAAACGAGTGACGTTTTTCCACATCCAAGGAAGATTGGCGATACTATGTGATACTCAAGAAATGTTTGCATCGAAGCTTTGAAGCACGAAGAAATGCCAAACAGTATGACTCAAAATCATCCCTTTTCCGAGGCTTCACCTCGACGGAACATCTGGCTCGAGAGACTCAAGTTGCATGATCCGCAGGCGGTGCATTACCCCACGTGCCCCACATCCCAAAATCAACCGCTTTGCTCGGGGAGCGGGGAGCGCCTTCTTGGGGTTCAGCATGTCCTCAAGTTGGCAAAACCAAAGTACTAACGGCTAGACCCAAACAAAAGGGCTGCGGCCAAACCGTGTTGGCACACAGGTCGCTCTTAAAACCAATCACGTCCTTGGCTGATTAAACCAATGATGTCTGGGTCCTTTGAGCGTGTGCCAAAACCCCTTGTTGACGAAGAGGACTTGATTCAACAAATTTGCATAAATTTGCCACTTTGGGAGGGGGCCCTATCGCTTGTTCAGGCGCCAGCAACACATTCGACACAGCTGAACATACCCGAAAGCTGATTTGACGTTATCGCAGTTTAAGGGAGCCAACCTAAACTGGTCATGTACCTGTAAGCATTTATTCAGCAGGCGATTATTTCACGCCACTCTTTACTGGTCATGACCTGCTCGACCAACATGTGATCCTTTCGGATCCTTATCTCCCGCTGTCCTCGGTGATCACGAACAAATTTTTGTACTCAAGGTCCTGGAAAGAATGCTTCTTCTACAGGCACTGACTCACTCCGACACCTCAGACTCGCATTTTTAAGGTCCGCTTCAGAGGTCCGCGTTGACACCGCTGTCCTCCCGATCACGGCCACTGCCGTACCACTCGGGCGGATTCGCCAAGCGAGCGGGCCTGAGAGGCCAAGGTCTCTGCAGGGACCCGCTCGGTGTAGAGCGTTTTTTTTGGCAAAAGCCGTGTTCGGGGTCCAGTTCTTTCTGGCCATACCCAGCAGCCCAGCGTCACCAAATCCAAGACACACCAATTTTGGGGTATCTGGAATCTGCGCTGACCACAAATGTGAACAGTCTTGGCACCTTTTTGTGACAACATCGATTCACCCATCCCATGAATGATCATGAATCTCATGTCTTGCTCATGATGTCTCATTCGCAGATCTTCAGGTCTCCCGGGCTTATCTTTGGATTGCCATGGGATCAATCCCATGAGCCTCATGTGCCTGGTCGTGCAAATTTGTGCAATCACGTCTTTGGGATCTGTGAAGACATAAATGCTATCGCAGCACAATTTAAGCATCCAATGTTAAGCAGGCGCAAGTGTCCAAAGCATCCAAGGAAAGCTCGCCTGGCCTCTTAAACACACGCTCGGAGCCTTTCTTCAGATACTCGAAATGGATCTGAGAAGGCTCTTCAGCCAGGGTGAGTGACCGTGAAACATGCGGGAAAATGGATATCAGTTCTTTGAGAAGTGCTGGGGTACGACGGATTCTTTCGAGTGGTGTTTCAAGAGAGCCGTAAAGCTTTCCTCCAAGGCTGCGACATTGGGTGAGTCATACCTCTCCCACCACACGGAGTGAGGCAAGCCACCCTTCATGTCCATATGGACGATGACATGGTCACCTCGCAAACCAAAATCAGCTCATGGAACTAAAGCTTTGCATGGAACTCATGTGGGTTTCTCCCTTGGTTTTCGCACAAATTTGGCCCGGTGCCCTCTGCACTTGATTTCCCTTTGCCAGCCTTTGTGACGAAAAACCCGACCTGGTGACAAATGATCTCCAGGTCCAATTGCCCAGTACTTTCCAGAACCTCCAAGATCTGGCGATGTGTCAAAAACATCACCATGTCACTATTTAAGGGGCAGGTGAGAAAAACTCCGAACTTGCAAGCTCTTAGTCATGAAACATCATAAAACACCGGAGCTCAATCACGGCAATCATTCAAATCCAGGCCGCTGATGGTTCAACGCGGACCGCCACCCAAGTCTTATAGAAATATAGTTTCAGCTTCACAGCCATGGTCGCAGCAAAGCTATTTTAAAATGTGGTCACGGACAAGTTGCGGCGCCTTCATCGTCAGGTCCAAGAATTTCATGGCCATCATTCTGAAGAGCAATGGCGGCCAAGAATGAAGACTCTATATGGCACATGAATGAGCACTGAGCACATAATTTCTCGTGTATATATATATATTTAGAGCTTATATGTTGTTTAACGTCTGGGAAGGGATGCTGGTCAAAGTAGAAAATGGAGATCCCTGATACGGATGAGATGAGGACTTGTCATTGAACCCCCTCAAAATCCAAGCTCTTCAACGGTTCTTCGAAGAACCCTCGCAAGTCTTGTTTTCCTTCAGCTTTCAAATCTTTGTTTCTCCGACCGATCTCCTGAGTTGCCAGATTTCTCTCTGGATGCACAGCAGCCTCAGGCAACCCTCGACTCGCCGCCCATGAATGGTTTTTTGTCTCCAAACAAAGGGACTCCAAAAGCCAGCATCAGCAAGGAAAAATCTGGAGGACTCCGTCCAATATAAAAACCCTCTGCTGCATAGTACATATGAGGGTTGAGTGGTCCTGACATTGATATTATGCGTTGCTGTGTTGCTGTCGCTCCTGCAGCGACACCTTGGGCATTCACTGATCGCAAGACTAGGCCTGGGAGCTGTGCCAGCCAATTTCGCTCCAGCAAAATCTGGATGGTTTCAGTTCCGCTGTCACCAAGGGTGATCTCCTCCGAACCACGCTGAAAGGGCATGAACACCTGCACTTGTGATATGTTCCAAGCGTGATCAAGCTTGGAATCGACTCGCTCATCCTCCAACCGTTTTGCGAACCCTTTTGCTTTCCGGACCTTGCAAACCTTGCCATCCAACCACTATGTGGGGCGTGGCCGCGCGTGGCCGAGGAGTCTGAGCAAGATCCGGCTCTTAGCTTCGGTCACTTAGCAAGCCTTTCGGGCCCGTGGCCGGGCCAAGAGCCAAGGGGCAAGCGAGGTAGGTCTTAAGCTCTGACAAATCGTTGGCAATATTAGGCAATGCAAAAAATGAACAGAGCGCTGGCGCTACTCTTGCAGAAGACATATATCCTTTCTTCATGTTCAGAGTGCGTGTGTGTGTGTGTGGGTACATTCTGTCTGTCTGTCTGTCGGTCGGTCGGTCGGTCGGTCGGTCGGTCGGTCCGTCGGTCCGTCGGTCCGTCGGTCGGTCGGTTTGTTTGTGTGGTTCTTTATTTTTTCTTTGTTTGTTTGTTTGTTGTTCAACTGTGGATATTTTGTCCTGCCAATAGGAGGTGGCAAGGCCATTCTCATCGGTCTCTTTCTTCATCGCCTCAGCTGCAAAATGTCACATGCGCAGCCTCCGTCCGTCAGACTTTGATGACGGATGTGTTTGGGATGGCTTAGCAAAGTCCTCGATATTTTTTCAAGATTTGGTGCAACACATTGTCTGATGTTCGCGCCTGGCAATCTTTGAAGCCGTTCCACGATCCAACCTTGTTCCAAGCAAAGCCACCAAAGCGCCGACTGCGTCTGAATTCTTCAAGCTGAATGCTGCCACACGCTGCCTAAGGTGCTTCCCTTGAAGGCAGCCAAGTCACAATGAAGTAGTTGTGATCTTTGGCCCGCTCCTGGCGCAGATTTTATCTTTTCACTCTGTGAGTGAGATGGAGCCAAGGCCAAGCAGGAAGGTGAAAGAGAAACTGTGAAACTGTGAAACTGAACCCCCAGCGATTGTTCATGGTCCTTCCATTTGTAGCCTTCAGGGACAAACCAAGGGGATGCATAGGTGCGGGGACAGCATGAGACCAATGCCCCTGGTGGCCCAAGAAGTCGCTCCTCAAAGTTCACTTCTTCCGACCGCAAGTGTTCCCAACCTCACCAGCTGGCCATCGATACCCGAGATCGACCCAAGCGACCACGGTGCTTGTGACGAGTGGAGACGACGGTGAGAAACGGTACTTCTCAGACATGCATATCACATGCATGTTTGATCATTGTTGCATCTTAGGGGATCCATCAACACATTCTTGCATACGTTGTCGGCGTATCCTGCCAACTTTCATGTTCATCTGCCATTGTCTCTGTCTTTTCTAAGTGCCCTGCTGATGCTTCTCTTATCCTGTTGTCAGCGCGCGGCTTGTGAACAACACAAACGCAATGTGTTCCATCATATTCAATACCTGTGCACTCCGAAGGTAAGACAGGAACTCCATCGCCCTCCATCCTGTTTGTATCCCTTCCACGATCTTCATCGACCCCTGTCCCTACCATCGTGCATCGACCATCCTCTCCACGTCGAACTCGTCGGTGGAAGGTGATCCGGAAGACGTCCCCCACCTGGGCTGATGCGGTGCACAGCTTCGGTTGGGCTGATGCGGTGTGACGGCCAATTGGTCAATGCCGACTAGTGATGCCGACAGGTGGTCCGGAGACCCGCCCCAAAAGGAAGAATGCCTAGTCATCGTCCATTGGAATTCCATGTAGGTAAATGTTCAGATCTGTTCATACGTATCTGTCACCACGACATGCAAAATATAGACGATATGCCACGTATCTGTCCAATCACCATGAGTTCAGTTCTGTCTGAAGCTCAGTTTGAGACTGAACCTCAAATCGATGATCTCTTCAAGTGAACATCTGGATCAATCAATCTAGAATCTCTGGACCGACTTTGGGCATGGCAAATGCATCGTCATGGCTCATTTAGGACACAATAATTGGCGTTCCTGCCTCTTCCAAAAGGTGGAAACTACATGAAAATAGGGTGGTCTTCCCCATCTCCCAATCCATCCACTTCCGTTCTCTTTTGGTTTTCACAGAAACAAACAGGTTCACGAAATCGTGTTCGGTCGCCTCTCCATTGAGCTTCCAGTAATACCCTTGGCCACGATCGTCTGGGCCTAAGTCTCCGCAGGTGGGCGATTCTCGCTTTCGGGGCCACTGGCATGCCACGGGGCCACCGATGCTGCTTAGCATAGGTCTCGGAGGGTGACCAATGGCCATCTATCTAAGCCGCTATGTTGCGATCGAGTTTGGGATGTGGCTGGACCACTCATTGTGTCTAATCATAGCAGGAACCGAGGGGCTTGAACACTGCACCGTCACGTCACTGTTGCCTTTCATTCCACATGTTCTCTTGCACACTCACATGCTGCAGCTCATAACTATATAAAGTACCTGTTCGGAAGTTTTGCGGGATGCTCACATGCTCAAACACACTCTGAGAATATGTGACCATGTCGTGACGACCTGCCATCACTCTGCCAAGATGCCAAGGATGTTGTCATCCTTCGCCCAACGACGGGCCACGAAAACGAAAGAACATGAATGCACTTGTATGTAATTCGCTGCTCGTTCAATCAACTCCCCAACACAGATTGAAATATTTTGAAATCATCCATGGAACCACAAAGCCTACTGAAACCCGGTTTTGATGCAGAAGCTCTTCCTATTGAAGAAGCTGGGCCTCATCCGGATAGAAGCCCTGATCGAAATCCCCTGGCCAATCGACTGTTCGAGGTCTTTCGAGGGCGAGTTCGGCACAAGTCAAACTCATCGAATGCGCTTTTGAGGGACAATAGTGGTCGCGAAATACATAGAAACGGTGTCCAATACGTTATTAGTGGGGATCTACTTTTCTATCTATGTAGGATCAGGGGCAGGGGTTTATATAGAGTTGATGTCTTGAAAAGTGCTCTGTGCTGGAAGACGAACCACATGTCTGCAGGGCGGTCACGGTAGATCTGGAAGTTGCTCGGGCTCTTCAAGATCTGAACCTGGAGACTTAGCGACACGATTCCCTGCTTCTCGTGCAAAAGAAGCTGAGGTGTCCAACATTTCAGCTTCTTTAAAGTACATTTGGGGGTTATATAAAATGTTCCCCCAAGTTGGTATGTTCCCACAAATGCCTCCACTTCTGTAGTTGTTTTAGTATGTTTTAGTGGTCAAACGTGTTGTTCCCCAAAAAGTAGAAACTTATGTTTTTTGCTTTGCTGTATTGGTGCAAATGCGCAGTGAAACTTGTTCACCGCGGACGTGCAAAGGCAACCAGTGAGAATGCAGGGTTGATTCTTCGCAAAGAGCGGGTTCGATTCCACAGTGTCAGTGAGCGGGTTCGAGCACTTTTTACACGACCGACTTGAAATAACTACTTTGCGATTGAAGAATAGAAACCGTTGGTCTTTGATTGAAGTCGCTAAGGCGAAGGGTTCTTGCAGTGCGGAAGTCCCGCCTCTGCAGCGTAGACGCCAGTTTCCACCTCCTGAGCAACCGCAGTTTTTCAGCAGGAAGATGTGGCTGGTGCAGGATGGTCCCTTGGTACTTTTACATATGCAAAAGCAGCAGGCTGACTGAGCTTAGCAAAACAACTGAATAGAAGGCAAAACCCTTGGCGCATCTCAACAGAGGGAGGGTGTTCTGGCACCTTTTGCTTTGTTTCTGTATAATCAGAATAAAAAGATGTGAAATCGAACTGTTCCAAGAACAACAGAAAATCCACCAAAATTGTTTGTTCTTGGAACAAATGGCCTGAAGTCGATTTGACTCTCCCCCCACCTGCATGTCATTGAAGAACCAATGGCTATGATCACCTCGGTTTCGGGTTTCCCGAGTCGCGACCCGAGTCTTCTCTCAGCCACCTCCAGACACGTCCGGTGATGGTCGACAGGTCCAGTTTTTTGTTGATGTTGGGCAACATTTGTATATTAGTAAAACATGGATGTTGGGCACCAGTCTACACTGATGCTTCAGAACACTGCTTTTGGTATTGTTGGGCTCCCAGCCAATCACTGAAAATTTGTGCTTGAAGCGCCTGGGTCAAAGCCGGTCAAAGCAAGGGAATATAAACTGCTCATTAATTTAATATTCCAGCTCGACAAAATCCGCCCACACCGGTGCAGGGCGTGTTAGGGGCGGGTCAAGCTGGAATCATCGTCAGTCAATCATCACATCGTAATCAATTCATAGCTCTGCTAGGGGGGGGGCCGTTTCGGGGAAAAACGTCTTACGCCTCTTGGGCCAAGGGGGAGAGCGTTTTGGAGGTACACTATTTCTGCAAGAACCCAAACCAGCCAAAAACGGACACCCACGATGCTGAAAAACCCTCCTGACCAGCAACGCATAACCAGCATTATTGCAAAAAGCCCACGTAGCCTCAACATAGGGTCACCAAACGATCAGGCTAGCCTTGACATGATGTAATGTGGACTAACCAAGCGGGGGCAAGGCCACAAAACGGTCGAACTTGGAGCCTGAATTGGCTTTAACATGGCCACCAAACGAGCGAACTTGTGCGTAACTCAGCCGCAACATGGCCATAGATGCTGCGGCAAACAAGCCATCTCTTTGGACACCACTCCCGACCTCCCCTGTCCAGTCCAGCAGTCTTTGCCCAGACGACCAAAAAAAAAGAAGGTGTGGGCGGCGGTCGACGCGAAGCGTCAGGAATTAATTGCCATGTTCCCATATTGCAGGATGTCCACCTTCCTCGGACATCCTATATGTCAAGGTTTGACGAAATGCGGACGAAACCGGCCTGATCAGTCAATCAACAAGTGGGCTCCAGTGCAAGCACACTTAGAACATGGACGGCATGCACTCTTAGAACCAAAGAAAGCAGCATACTTAGAACATCATAGATTGATTTGACGGCACCTAAATATATATATATATATGTATTTTCCCTTTCCTCCTCTCTCTCTTTCTCTCTCTCTTTCTCTCTCTCTCTCTCCCCCTCTCTCTCTCTCTCTCTCTCTCCCTCCCATCACAAGCGCCCATTTAAGGGCAATCCTTTGTTTGTCAAAATATGTTCTAAGTGTATATTATGTTGGACTATGCTCTTAGTGTAGCTGCTAGGGCATGGGATGTTCTTACTCTAGGGTTAGAACATCTGCCGACACATGCTCTTAGAACATCGTAACCTATACACCTAGAACGTCCCACCTGCAAAAAAGATATTCCAAAACATGTTCTAAGTGTATGTCTTATAGATCTTATAGTGTACACAGCAACATAAAATCCCACAGGTATGCCATAAGGTCCCCAATTGAATTATTACTCAAACAAAAGTAGACTAGAGGGTCTACTAACGAATTTATACCACTTGTGACCTAGGTCGTAGAACTTATCACCTCGGAAACGACAAATATCGAAAAAGTCTACGTGCCATAAAACGGCACATGTGGCAGTTCGACCCTCACCTATTCGACCGGCCAACGCGGCCAGCGCCGGCGTCTTCTGAGTTTGCTGCTTTTCGCCCAGCGGTGCGACAGCATCGGTACCTTTGGCCTTGGACCACTCGAGGCGTTTGTACCTGAAAACAAACGAGGCGCAGCTGGTGTCAGCAGTCAACAAGCAGCTGGTCAGCAGCGTTTTTTAAGGCGGTCTTTGGTCCAAAAGCGTTTGTTGCTGAGAGTTCCCGTTTCGAGTCTTACATGTCTTGCCCTTCTGTGATATGGAATCTTCACCCAAACTTCGGAGGTCACCCCCCCTGGACGTAAAGGCGAATCCGGTACCTGTGGCCAATCGGGAAGCGGAGGATACTGCGGCAACGGATGGATTCCCAATGACGCAACAACAAGCAGTCTTTTTTGAACACCCACTCTACTACACAGTCAACTGCGCATGGGTGTTAAACAATATATATATATAATATGTCTTTTAAATTGGTATGTGATTTATTATGATAATGTGATGATGTCTCCGCACTTAGGCCTTCCAATGAGCTCAAACGCAAAAGATTGACATCGCACTGTGGCCCCTACTTGTCACCAGGTTGCCCTTCAAGGCCAGCATTCAGGTTCACAATCTGCAAAGCCCGGATTCAGGATTCTACATGCATCAGAGCCATTCACGAACACAGCCCGACGGACGGTGACTTACTGTTCCCACTGTTCCTCCAAAAGGAACCTACCTTTTGCATTGAAACTCCTTCACCTAATGCACCACCCGCAGCACCCGCCCCGGTAGAAGACATCCATGGCACCGGCATCTTGGTGACGTCATCCTCGGTCTGTGGAGGTATGTAGCTGCCACCAAAGGCGACCATGCATTCTGGTCCCTGCAGGACGCAGGACTCATCAGGTATGAACATCTTTGATGTGTGAGTCATCCGTACAGCCAAAGATCAAGTCTTGAAACCTCACACAAGCAGTTTCCATGTCTGTCCTTCAGTTTCACTTCCAAAGCTCTTCGAAATCAACGCAGATTTGGCCTTCACCAGCACACCACTTTCCTCCATGGCTTCGAACTGAGCCTCGTTCACCAAGCGAACCTGACCAAGGACCACTCGGAAGAGACACACCAGTAGCTGACCCTAGGAGAACAGCCTCTTTCACGCCCAAAACAAGAACAGTTTCATGAACACAACGTGTGCATTTCATTGAGCCTCTTCCTTCGCCCCAGAGATCTTCCAAGCTAAGGCCTCGCGAAGGTTTGGTGCCAGCTGGAGGCAGACTGATTCAGTGTGTGGCACAAAAGTCTCTATTGCCCAACTTGCATCAGGTTGCCTTCCCCAAAACATCAATGATGAGTTAAGCCAGTTCTTTGATGTTCTTTGTACACCAAGTCTTATCCTCCATTCCCCCCATTCCATCCATTCCATCCATCTGGCTGTTTTGAAGGACCACTCAAAAACAGTTTCAGTTTGTCCTTTAACAGTTCCGCATCCTAAGCTCCCCACCTGTGGAACATCAGCCTCTGGCCCCTCAATGATGGATTCAGACATGTCGTTGGGATTGGCCGGATGAAGCACCTCGGGTCAGTGTGAAGATCTAGCTATCCAGAAAGAACACTGAGGAAAGAAAGGAGGGATATGAAGTGGTGGTTGCAGACCATTTTCTTGGCAGAGTACCGGGGGCTTAGTGATGACTTGCTACTCGTTGATCACAGCTTGTGCTGTGTCAGCTATGGCAATTAAATGCATGTGGATCAGCAACCTAGTTGTATCGAACGCTTTGGCTTCACTCGAAGTAACATAAGAGGCATAAGGCTGGAGCTGCATCACTCAAGCAGTACCTTGGGTTGTACCTTCTGTACTTCATCTGCTTATGTTGCTGTGCGCCCTCACATGCCCCACGTTGCAGCATCCTCCACTACCGTCAGGTTCGCTGGTGAGATCAAGGTCCAGCCACCCGGGCACCCCAGTTGCCTTGTCTGGATCTTCATCAATCCAAACCTGCCAGCGTACGCACCACAACCCTTAGATCAGGAGCCTTGAAAAGGTCTTGGATCGTTTGCTGCAAACTTCATGCACATGTTCCTTCCACCATTACATGAAACGACGTACTGTTGCAAAAGAGTTGGTCGTATCAGTCGTCTTTTGCTACACTACAGACTCTAAAGACTAGTTGCCGTATTAAACATATATTGTACATATATAATATATATATACATATCTTCACAAACGAAGATCGAGACTGACTGCCAAAGACTGACGGAGATCGTCCTGAAACTTCTCCCAATTGTTGTCGCCCATGGTAAGCCTTTGATTTGGGCGGCCAAATGGAGCCTTTGATTTGGATGAAACATCGAACACCCTACTGTATACATCTTACTACTATGTTCGAGTAACAAGAGCCCTCTTAAAAGTGCTCTTGGTTCTTAGCCATTGGGAGTGAAGTCCAAGATCTGAACGTCTGATAGCATCTTCAGATTGACTCGATCAACGTCAGCCGATCCGACCCCGTCAACTGAGTTGGCGACGTATATGCATAGACACCCTCTGATTCTTGAATCATCCGTCGCCCTTCGGTCCTGCCGTCTGCCAATAAAAAGAAGAGACCAATGTGAGACCAGTGCGGCTCTACTACAGTAGTGCTTACACATCTTGGATATTCACCATGCATGTCCTGTGATTGTATACAAATTATTAGACAAGGAGGGAGCACATCCACCCTACCTACAAACCGCTCACGCTGGTTTTCGCAAACCGGTGGTAAAGTCCTTGGTTCATCCTTTCAACTCCAGTTGAATTTCCAAAAATG